GGCCCACCAGGCGGGGGGCTGGCGGGACAGGGCTGGGCTGGGAGCCAGCTGGCCGCAGAAAGGCAGTGCCCAGGCAACCGACTGAGGGTGTGCCGGGGGTAGAGCAGAGGTTTGGGAACTGCTGATGTCTGGGGGCTAGTCCCGGCCCTGACCCCAGAACCTCTGCCTCAGTTTCCCCATTAGTACGGTGTGCAGCATACCTTCCCTTCAGGGTGGCCTGTTCCTGTCTGCAGGGCGCCCCGAGCCCCTGTGATGGAAGGCACGGCATAGGCAGTCCAAGTGTTGCCCCGTTGGTCTGGAGGACTATTCCCTTCTCAGACCCCTGGGGAATTCCCCCCCTCTTGTTCCTTAGTTCCCCCCCACCCCCACCCCACACGCACGACTTGGCCACTGGGGGATGGAAACCTTTCCCTTGTCCCAGCACCCCTCTGGTCCCTGCCACTGGGGGTGCTGCAGAGCCATGGGAGATGCCCCCATCCTGTCCCTGCCGTGGTTCGGTGCGGGGTGCTCGGTCGGAAGGCAGGCCGGGGATGTTGGCCCTCCCGGGGCAAGCGCCCGACGGTGGGAGCAGGGGGCTGGTGGGTCTGACACAAGGGGATGGAAACCTTTCCCTTGTCCCAGCACCCCTCTGGTCCCTGCCACTGGGGGTGCTGCAGAGCCATGGGAGATGCCCCCATCCTGTCCCTGCCGTGGTTCGGTGCGGGGTGCTCGGTCGGAAGGCAGGCCGGGGATGTTGGCCCTCCCGGGGCAAGCGCCCGACGGTGGGAGCAGGGGGCTGGTGGGTCTGACACAAAGGGCGGGGAGGCATCGGGCCGCCCTCTCGGGTGGCCAGACCGCTCCAGGGCCGTCCCCCCCTTTCCCTCAGGCCAGCCGGGGGGCTGGGTGCTCACTTGTGCCCTTTCGTAGAATCCCAGGACGGGCAGAGCCCTCTGGAGTCACCGAGTCCAGCCCCCTGCCCAAGGCAGGACCAGCCCAACTCAATCATCCCCCTCCAGGGCTTGGTCCAGCCGAGACTCTCTCACTTCTAGGGATGGAGGTTCCACCCTCTCCCTAGCGAACCCAGCCCTCTGCTTCCCCACCCGCCTGGGGAAATCGTTTGTCCTAATATCCAACCTCGACCTCCCCCACTGCAACTCTTTCCTCAGCATCCCCGCCCCTGCTGAGTGACAGGGGCCCTCTGGGGCTCCGTGTCCCCAAGGGAGCCCCCAAAAGCACGTGGGTCTAAAGGAGATGAACAAAGGACTTGCCAGACTAGATCCAGTTGCAGATTCTCCCTCCCCCCCATGTTGGGCTCCTCGGGGGAGGCAGGACGTGGGCTGATGTTCCAGGCTCACCCCTGGCCTGCTCTCTTGGCAGAGAATTCGGGTCTTCCATGCGCCTCTCCAAGTGCTGCTCGTTGGGGGCTTGTAAGTATCGCTCTGCTCAAGCCGCCGCCCTTCCTCTGTTCCGGCCTGGCGACGGCGGGGGCTCGCCAGCAATCCTGAAGCCGCCCCTTGCTCTAACCACTAGCCGACACTTCCTCTGTAACGCAGGCCCCAGTAGCAGGGGAGGAGAGGCTGTTCACGCCGGCGGTGCTGAGTGGCAGGGGTGCAGCGCCCCACTTCACTCCAGCACGGGACCTTCTCCTTGGGGTGGAAGTAGAGTCCAAGGGCCCTGCTGTGCCCGACCGTCCCTCCCCCGTGCTCTGCTCTCTCCGCTGCTGGGGAGCATACCGGGGTCTCTGGAGACGCAGGCCCCAGTAGCAGGGGAGGAGAGGCTGTTCACGCCGGCGGTGCTGAGTGGCAGGGGTGCAGCGCCCCACTTCACTCCAGCACGGGACCTTCTCCTTGGGGTGGAAGTAGAGTCCAAGGGCCCTGCTGTGCCCGACCGTCCCTCCCCCGTGCTCTGCTCTCTCCGCTGCTGGGGAGCATACCGGGGTCTCTGGAGCTCCGCAGGGCCCAAGCAAGGCCCACTGCTCTGGACGCTCCCAAGGGGTGTCTGGGGTCAGCCCCCGGTGCTCCCCAGCAGAGCCTCCGAGCTGCCC